TTTCTGACTGACAGTTCCACTGAGACTCCTAAATCGAGCTTTCAGCAAACCAATAGCTCTTTCGACGATGGAACGAGCTCTTGCCTGACAAGTGTTGTAGGCCCAGAGGTTTCCGGTGGCCCGGGGCAAAATTAAGCCAGAGACCCCTTGAGGCCCTTTGGGGGTCCCCTTGGGACACCTTCATACGTGGGGCCCTGGGCAGATTGCCCTAATTGCTCCCCCCCCCCCTTCCCCTTCTGGGCGGCCCTGATTGTAGGCAACCTCTTCCCTAGTCTAAGATTGGTCAAAGGAGTCATCAGATAACTTCGCTGTGGGTATCCATAATCTCCCAGCAACCAACCATCTCCAGGAATTTCCTTCTGACGCTACTTCAATGCGAGATAGCTGCTCTCAAAAATGAGAGTGTCATGGGATCTGCCTGGATAGCCATCAACAAGACTCAGTATCTTCGTTTTCCTATCGACAACGATTTGTACATACAGGGAGTGGAAGGCTTTTCTGTTCACGTAGAGGTATTCCCTGTCCTTGGGTACTTCAATGGGATATGGATTCCATCAATTGCCCCGATGACTTTGGAGAATTGAAATTCTTCAATTTTCAGAAATCAGTTTTCACCCTGTGCACTTCGTTTACTGAGGGAATTTTCGCAAAATCTTGCACGCTCTGAGCAAGATTTTTAAAAACAGTATGAATGGTACGGAGAACTGATGACAAGGAAATACATATTCCATCTCCCAACACGGAATAGATGGCACTAGTAGCGAGGAATCTCAATGTACAGCACAATATTAGTTGAAGAGCCAATGCTTGACTACTGAAGGTACCTCATTGAATGCAAGCACTCGCTATGGTACGTATCTCCGGGATGAGGGATCTCGACAGTCCATATCGATTTTCGTAGCTCATCATCCCTAAGATGATGAGCTTTTTTTTTTTCAAGAGAATCAAGGTGATCACGAAAAACACGCTCCCTCCTCAGCAATTTTCGCCTGCGGAAACGTTCCCTTGTCGCCATGTCTCATGCGAATGTAGAAGAAAGTATGTGGAACAAATGCTCCTTCGAGAAACAAAATATTTGCGTACCATTTAGAATGATAAGAATATGCAGGTCAAGCTGATAATCATTTTAGAAAAGTTTAAGACACCTCCTTCGCTGTCTTTTTCCATGCTAAAACTTTTCTTAAACGCAAGATTTACATTTAAGGACTTAGGTGCTAGAGACGCAATTGCATCACCCTTCTGATTCGTCCATTTCTCCGAATTGCTGTTTATTTTTGTCCCTACTTTCGCATCTTGACGACTCCACGGATTCTAGACCTTCCACCATGCTGAATTTCTTCTTTCAGCTCTTCATAGATTGCGAGATTTTACATCCATCCTTCCAAATGGATCAAACGCATTTTTCGTTTCTCTTCGACTCGGAACCTAAAGAAGCCCCTCAAGTTGTTCAATTTGTCCCTAGACAGGAGAGGAGGAGAGGAGGGGACTAGTATCTCTCGAGAGACAAGGGGAAGGCAAGCTCAAGTGGGGGAGCGATTTATCACTTATGGTATGTGATCTTCCCCAGCTACGGCAGATTCTCCTTCGCGCTTTCAATATTCTCTCTTTCTTTTACATATTAGGATTTTTAGATTTTTCTCATAGTTTCAGAGACTTTTTGGAACAGCAAACCTGGCCAAAAGCTGAAAAGCTCTACCTTCATGCTAAAATCCATTCCTGCGAGTTTCTTATAAATTCTACAGGATTCGTCCAGACCATCCCTGCATCCAAGTGCATAAAATCATTAAGAGTTTTGCCGAGAGGAATGTGAGGGTGGGAATAGATTTATCATTCATGATCGTATTTATCTCTTTTATTTTGGGAATTCCGTGTGAACGGCTCTAATTCAGTATTGTGATGAGCTGCAATCAATTACATCAGCAAGAAAAGCAGCTTGAACAGTATTTTTCTTAGGATCTGGAATGCTGGGCAATCCAGGACTGAGACACACGACAAGCAAGGCTTTTGCCATTTCTGATCCGTTTATTTCGTTGAATTGGTATTCATTTCTGTTCATTTTTGTTTCCACGTTCGCGTCTTTGTGACCCCACAAGTTCTGGAATTCCCGCAATGCCAAATTTAATCTCTCAACTCTTCATAGCTTGCGAGATTTTTAACGCATCCACCTCTCCAAAAAGGATGAAAAAGATATTTCCGCTTTCACGATACGGCGCCGGAAGAAAAAGCCACGTAGCTGTTCACGCCCACAGTTGCCCCACGGATAAGAGAAGGGAATTGTATCTCGCCGGAGACAAGAGGAGGCGGGGACATCCGGCGTAGACGCATTCTCGTCAAGCGTTATATCACTTACTTGGCCTGTTCTGCAACGAAAAATTTTCATTCTCGATTTCTCATTTCTCTCAGGGAATTTTAATTTTGTATTTTCATATGCTTCCCATAACGTTGGAGACTTTCTGGAGTGTCAACCTAGGAAACTCATATTGCTTGGTTCCCATACCACTCCTCCAGAATGCCAAGTTTCATTCATCAGTTCACCCGAGTTTCAAATAAATTCTGCAGAATCCATTCAGACCGTCCATGTATCAAAATGGGAAATCCATTCTTTAGAGTTTCGGCTAGAGCAGCGGTTCTCAACCGGGGGGGGGGGGGGGCACACTGATCATGGGGTGTTAGTTTTATTTGTATGGTTTTTCCTTAATTTCAACGTGCAATTTCAAAAACGAATGTACAGTATGTCCTATGTGGGTTATTAATATTTTTTTTAAATAATGAAATATGCTCTCGTTCCTTCAGGTCTTTCTGGCTCTTTCTCCAGGAGTACAAGACTAAATGAAAGCAATCTCCTAGTGCAGGCTTTGAAATTCGATTCTTTCTTTCAACAGGTGTTCGTTTCCGTTGAAGATCTCCTCCGATCCGATTCAAGGCAACTGGATCATGCGTATTTTTGGTGTAACTTGAACGCTGATGTTGGTACGCTGATTTTCTCTAAATGAATAAAAAGACTCAAAGACGCAGAAGAGCTGGATTTCCCTGGCAAAGATAGAAAATATATAGGGTATGGCAAAAAAAAATGACCAACGATTTTCAACCCAAAGATTTCCTCTCACAATAGAGCTATTTTTGCTTTCCATGGGTATGTTTCCAACTGATATATCAAGTTTCATCTGAATTTGTTGAGGCAAAGCAATATTATCAGCAATTATTGAAAATAAATTAGACATTTAGAATGGACAAGAGCTCTTGCTGTTAGTGGAGTGGAGGTCACACTCGAGCACCGTCCTTCCTGCTTATCAAGATCACGTCGAACTCAACTTCCATTCCTTAGCGCTCGAGTGTGTCCACTCCACTACCAGTGGAGGCCCGAAATCAGTCCTTTTCCACATATAGGTCTTAGGATGAGAATGCGAAATGTTAAGATCACAGACTCTCTACCATCGTTTTTATTGACCTGTAGGGTGTATTCGACGAGTTCTAGGAAAGGATTCTTTTTGGGAATATGAGCTTTTTTTTATCTTAACCCCATGAATCTGTCTCGAATATGAGGATAACAAGTGATGAAGGAAGTGTCCGTGTTCATTGATTACTATAATGAGACAATGCGAGAAATATGGCAAGGTACTAAACATTCCCTTGCGGGACGATTCCAGGGAAAGGGAGAAGGGCACTTTTGTGTACTGTGAGAAAAGCGAGACCTACGTCTCCATCTCGTGGCAAGGAGGACAATTTTACAATTCCCTAAAACAAGTCCGTATTGTATCAGAATGTTGTCGCTACGTTGTCGATGTCAAGAGTGTCAACAATCTCTCAATGTTGATAGCAAATGTTGAAGTGACATTCGTAGAAGTGTCGCAGCATCATTCCAAGTGAAAACATTGAAGGAATGTTTTATCAATGTTGTACATCAACTTGCAACATAGAGCAACATAGGCTACATTTCTGAAAAGTTTCAACATACTGTGTTACTTTCTGCGACCCGGTCCTTGAAGTGTTGCGATTCTTTATCCTTTTCCTTTCAATCGTCTTATGAAGAAAACATTAGTGCGGTAGGCTGTATTTCCTGGCACTCCTCTCAGAAGTAAAAGGAGTGGGGGTGGGGAGTAGACGCACATCTCGTTTTTTCTTTCCCTCTTGCCTTTTCTTTCAACGCAGAGTTGGTATGGTGGAGTGTGATAATGCATGTTATTATTTAATCCTGTATTTTATGGTTATCCTGTGATTTCATTTTGGAATTGGGACTTTTTTTTTTGGCCCATCCTGCTTTTTTTAAAAAGTTTCTGTAACAATGCATTCATTACAAGAAAGTACTTGAATATTTTTAATTGTGGGTTGTCCAAATTTTTTTTTTCTCATTTAAGATAATGCTATCACATATTTAAAATATTCATGTTCAAAATGAAGTATGGGATGAATGAAATCCTACCGAACTAACGCTGGATTAACTTGTTCCGGAGGAAAGTTTGCAGCTGACATGAAGGAGTTGGAGACAGAGAGCATAGAGAGTCAAGACTTTTTCCTTGCATCTACGTGCCCCCGCAATATATACAATGTGGGCCCAAAAGGTAACTTCAACTAAAAATATAATTAAGAATGATTTTATTTATTTATACACACATTTGAACTGTATTTGACCTGATCCTCAGTTTTTAAAATAGCGTTCGACAATCCATACACGCTCCTCAATAGAATATTGAAGCATGATATTGCAATAATGATAACATTTTGCCCTAAAATGAAAAGAAATACTCATTTTCAGTTACATATTTTGGCCCACCCTGTATATAAAAAAAAAAATTAGTTTAAAATGTAAAATCCCTTTCTCTGACAAAATTTTTTTTTTCCTCCACGCTGATATTTCTAAATTAAGCTGAAACCACCCATTTCCTGTGTCCGGAAACATTCACGATATGGAGAGACCTTTAAAAGATATGAAACAGATAAAGAAGTAAAGAAGATAACATCTTCGTTTATGAGTGCCTAGGTGTGTCTCGTTCCTTTCGCGTGTTCGCCGCAACGTGGTTTGTAATCATTTGTGACTGTAGTGACGCCAAGGGCACCGAGAAAGGTCTCATTCCCCAGGTAAGGAATGGGGGAATCTCTCTCCTACCTAAGATTATTTACATTCCATCAGTACAGCGTGATTTCCTCTCTCTGACACCGTGGTACCTTTGTGACAGACTGGTTACGATTGTGACCGGGCCTTCCCATTAATCTCTTCTCGCTGCCCAGACGAACAACACTCCTACGTTTGTACGCCAAGTACGAGGAAACCATGAAGTTTCAGGAGTCGCAATTTATTAATAAGATAATAGTATAATGAGGGTCATGATTTATAATATCATGGGTTTCGTGTTTCATTTTGTAGGGATGAAAAGGGACGGTATCCCTCTCCTGGTGGCATCTCCCGACTCTAGCATTTTCTATATTGTATGTGGTACATGCAGTACGGGATAGATTATCCGTAATTACGTCGGACTTTTATCTCAAGCTTGCGTAGCATTCGGTGTCAGTGCATTGATGTTCCCCTTGAGTTTGATCGGGCATCCCCATGTCTCTATCTTTATGACATCGCCTTCCTCTCCCTTCACTTTATGTTTTGCCAGGCGATATTTCCAGTGTCCGGGCTCCTGCTCGGCCGGTGGCTTCACTGACCAGGTTGAAATCTCTAACCCACCTCAACCTAGGACTGTAAGTGAAAAATGGCAGACGAACTTTCTTCATTGATCGTCGATAACGGGTCGGGATTGTGCAAAGCTGGCTTCTCTGGGGAAGATGCCCCGAAGGTCGTATTTCCAACTCTCGTTGGCAGATCCGCACCACAAGTGAGTCCAGTACTCTGAAGGTTCTTTGACAGTGGATGTTGAACGTTGTTTTGTTCATGTTGGAGATGAAACTCCTTCACGAGTTCTTCCTCCCCTTAGGGTGCCTTGGATGGAAGTACGGAGCAGAGTGATACCTATGTGGGGCGCGAGGCCCAGAACAAGAGAGAAATCCAGAACCTGAAATATCCCATGGAACACGGCGTCGTCATCGACTGGGATGATATGCAAAAGATTTGGCACCATGCCTTCAACGAGTTGAGTGCATCCCCAAAAGAACATCCGGTGCTGCTCACAGAGGCTCCACTCAATCCGAGAGCAAACAGGGAGAAGATGGCCCAAGTCGGAGTCCCTTGCTTCGCCCCTTTATTCTTTTTTTTTATCCTTGCTCGTCAGCAAATATTTTCTGTTTGCAGATCGTGTTTGAGACCTTCAAGAGCCACTCCATTTATGTGGCCATCCCAGGAGTTCTATCTCTCTTTGCATGTGGCAGAACGATCGGCATCGCATTGGATTCAGGCGATGGTGTGTCTCACACTGTGCCTATCTATGAAGGCTATGTCGTTCCCGATGGCATACAGCGGTTGGACCTGGCCGGCCGAGACCTCACTAATTACTTGATGAAGATCCTCACAGAGAAGAGGCATCCTTTTACAACTGCAGGTGAGGGCCACGCCAACATTGATACGTTATCTCTCTTCTCGTTGCTGGGGAGTGGGATGAAGGCCTTGAGCTCCAACCCACATTTTTTCCTTTTGTAGATGTGTACTAGATGAGACACAGCATGACTCTTGTAGCTGTCGTATCGTCCTTCGTAAAGATTTCTTACTTCAGATAATCCTCGGGTCATCATTACTCATTGTGGTCCGGAAGTTGATATGTCATTCGTTATGTATGGGTATTCGTTGTAGCTGAGAGAGAAATCGTGAGGGACATCAAAGAGAAGCTGTGCTATGTTGCCCTCGACTACGAGCAGGAAATGGCAACAGCTGCCAGTAACAGCAGTCTGGAAAAGTCTTATGAGCTGCCTGACGGTCAGGTGATTACGATCGGGAACGAGTGCTTTCGTTGTCCCGAAGCTCTCTTCCAGCCCTCGTTATTGGGCATGAAATCCCATGGCATTCATGAAACCATCTACAACTCCATCAAGAGGTGCGATGTCGACATCAGGAAGGATCTCTATGCAAACACAGTGCTCATTGGAGGTAATGCATCCCACTCGGCAGAATCAAACATGTTCTGAGTCTTTACAGCACTTACGACATTTCCTTTTTGCAGGGAGCACCATGTTTCCAGGAATTGCAGATCGTATGGAGAAGGAGATAGCATCCTTGGCTCCATCTACCATAAAAATTAAAATCATTGCTCCACCAGAGAGGAAGTATTCAGTTTGGATTGGAGGGTCCATTATGGCATCTCTTTCCACATTTCAGCAGATGTGGATCTCCAAGAAAGAATACGATGAATCTGGGCCATCCATTGTCCACCGCAAGTGTTTGTAGTCGCTTTCCTTTCTCAACCCTCCTGTTTGACTCTTCTGTTGCTTCATTTCATGTTCCTGATTTTCTATGATTATAAAAGATCCATCTTTCGGCTCTAATCCGACAGCTTCTCATTTTAGTAATAGGTCTGGCGTATATCTCAGGAAAGCGGAGTGGAGAAGCCGAAGGTCACGGTCACGGTCAAGGCCAACGTGAGGGGGAAAATGGTGTGACATACAGGGTGCGTGAGCTATTTGAGAACAAAATTTGACTTTGAGGAAAACTAAAATATTCAGTAGAAAACCCAATATATTTCCATAGATTTTGGTACACATGTTCTTACATACACATAACAAAAGGCTATTCAATAAAACCGCCTTCAACCTCGATTACGGCCTTAATACCAAGGACTCGTTAAAGGCTGCCATCGGGGACATTATGGCAAACATAAATAAGAATCACCTGATCAACGCATGTAGTCGTTTCAGAAGCCGCATCGAGGCCGTAATCGAGGTTGAAGGCGGTTTTATTGAATAACCTTTTGTTATGTGTATGTAAGAACATGTGTACCAAAATCTATGGAAATATATTGGGTTTTCTACTGAATATTTTAGTTTTCCTCAAAGTCAAATTTTGTTCTCAAATAGCTCGCGCACCCTGTATATTGTTTTAATATTCAGATGCGTAAATAAGTGTGAATTTAAATTATTCGTGAAATTTTAATGTGATTTACTTCACTTCCGCCGAAGACTCGTTACTTAAAACTCAGCGCTCGAAGGTGGATTGAGTACTTCCTAATTCCAGCTGTGAGAATTATACTGTAGAGTCCATGTTTCCGAATATTTTTTTATTAGCAAACGGGTAAGGTGTCAAAGTGATGACATGAGAAGCTCCCACCGCTTCCAATTAACTTTGACATAGACGCATTGTCTCCATGAAAGAGGAGCGGAGGTGGAAAAATAATTCTAAAAAACGGGTTCTGGGTTTGTGCCTCATGCATTGAGTGACAGTCCCCTTGTACCCTCTGTGGAGCAACGGGAGGAGAGCACAATCTCCTTTTTCATGGCACAGGTGAATGATATACAGGGTATGGCAAAAAAAAATAAAGAACGACTTTTAAAAATATCTCCATATTTCCAAATATCTTCAAAATATCTCCGTCCACAATGGAGCTATTTTTGCGAATCTTTCAATATGCATACATGAATATGTATCTAACATTTTCTCAAATCGTCATCCAAATTTGTTGTGCTGAAGCAATACCATCAGCAATTATTGAAAAGAAGTTTGACATTGAAAATGGACAAGAGTTCCTGTTGGTGGTGGAGAGGAGGGAACACTGGAGCGCTGTCCTTCCTAATCAAGACTAGGTCGAACTCCTATTTATTGATAAATTCTTTTTTGGGCGGTTGGCCATCTCATGAGTTTCATGAGTTTATTCCCAATGAATAGCAGATTAATCATTGAACTGATCAATTCAGAGAGGTTTCTCAAAGTTCTTTCAGAATTTCCCTTTTTTAAAAGTCGGCCTGGAGGGCATGAAACAAAAGACAAACGACTTCGAGTGTATCGAAAGATTGCTGCACTCGTATCTCTCAAAATTTGCTGAAAAAGTAACATGTCTTCATATATTTGAAAGTCAAGAGGACAGTCAAAATCCATTAACTTAAATTAAAGTTATGAACAATTGTCCATGACAAGTCTGAGATCCGAAATGGATAATTCCTTCATAAAACCAATGAAAATTCTGAATGAACTTTAAAAAACTGTGGATTGATGCACATCGATTCCTCTGCAAGAGACAACCAGTCCAAAAAATGAATCAGAGAGGAGTTCGACCATGTCTCGCTGACTAGGAAGGACAGCGTTCGACAACCCTCCCATTACCAGCAGGAGCAGGTAGTGGAACTCGGACTCTTGTCCATTTTAAATGTCTAACTTCTTTTCCATAATTGCTAATGGTATAGCTTCAGCTCCATAAATTTATGAGAAATGTTGAGAATGAGTTGGAGACAAACTCATGTACGCATAGTGAAAGATTTGCAAAAGTTACTCCATTGTGAGCGGAGATATTTTGATTATAATAGTCGTTGGTCCTTTTTGCCATTCCCTGTATATACCTAATCTTTCAGATCGTGAATACCAAGCGAATTTTAAGTTTTCCCCTCTGTATTTACAAAGATGTTGAACAACTATGGAAATGAGAAAAAATTTTTATTTATTCTTGAAATCAAATCCACATGCGAACGCACATCCACACAACAATATAGGGTTAGCACGCCGGTTTCTGGCCGGTCTCCAGTGAGGGTCAGTGAGGTCAGTGAGGTCACTGGCCGGTCTGGCCAGTGAAGTTTAAATCCAGCATAATTAGTTAATCTGGCCGTTTTCAAGCATTCTATCAACATCTTCCCCTACGAGGACCTATTATTAGTGTTTCCCGGTGTGCGCACAGGGTGTTCACTTCCTATGGGAGTCGTATCAGCGTAGCCAAAAACTGGGGTGTTTACCCTACCCTCACTTCTACTCATGCAATTGCACATTTCAGGGAGTTTTAACTTCCATCTGCCCCCTCATTAGTTATACAAGGCCTTTGAAAATGAAAGAAAGAGCCACAAAGATTGAAGATAGAAAGGAAGCGTTGAAAAAAAAGTACCATGTTTATTAATTGAAAATGGAAGACTGTTTTAACAGCACGAGTGGATTGAGATGCTTACAGCAAAACGATCGTTTCCTCAGGTCTATTCTGTTCCTCCTCTGGTTTCAATCTTCCCAGATGAATTCCTTTGTTTCCGGCTATGAAGAAAAGAAATTTAATGGCTTGTAAGATATTGATTGGGTGGAGCACAGTCGTTCTTGAATGGCGAAACATACATGGAGAGCTGACTATACTGGACCGCAGGGTTAGGATACGAACTCGGTAGCCGTGATCGTATGTTGCGTTGTGGCCACGAAAACCCATGTTCGAGTCCTGGCCACGGACATTATGGCCATGGCCACAGCACTAGTTCCATAATTACGCAATCAGTAGAACGAGTTTTAGAGGTGAACACAAGACTGGAAGATTCTGATGAAATAGCCAGTGGTTAGGCTAGTGATGCAATTCCGTATTATGAAATTCATCTGCCTAAGCTATCCCTAAAGGGTAGAGACACCTACATCCCTCGCCCTAGTGTACTAGCTAATGCAAAGACTATAATCAACCCAACGAATATGGATGATCCATGCTTTTTATACTGCATACAAATCCATCTGATTCCTATGTCCCAGAATCCAGAAAGGGTGAGCAAATACACGCCATATCTCCAGCATCTCCGTACGGATGGGCTCACATCCCCTCTTCCACCTACTGTACCACGCTTTGAAAGCATGAATGGTTTCCCAGTCAATGTCTTCGTGTGCGAACATGAGAAGTGTCTGAGTGGCGAGTACCTCAAGATCTTTCCACTTTGTCTCTTTCTCATAGAGATGGGGAGAAGGAACGGATAAAAATGCTCTATTGATCGACAGCAATGAACATTGTCATTACGTTTACATCCGCTCCCTGCGTCGATTTCTCAACTCTCTTTTCACAACTTCCTTGAGTAATGCCCACGTTTCTTTCAGGGGTTTGATGCAAAGGAGAGTTTACATCCAATCTGAAGTTGCTATACTCCGATACAAGAGCTTCATATTCTAACTAGAAACTGATATCTACCGGGAGATTTATGCTCTGCTCTCTATCTCTCAGTGTTTTGATCTGTCATCTCTACCATCAACACATCCATGTCGAGACATTACCAATGGAGGAGGAACGTGTTCAAGGATGAGATGAAGGGACGGAGTATCAAAGAGGCTATCCTCCTACGATCTAAAACTGTATAGTTTGCTTCTCTATTGTGACACACGTAAGGATCAGGGGCCGTATTCTATTAATTTCTTATCTTAACCCTTTCGCACTCAACTTATTTTCCAAGTACCTGGCCTAAAACACTCAGGCGAATTTGGCTCAATGTACAAGTCTCACTTCAAAAATTCACCAAAAATGCAATTTTGGTCAAAGACATATGAAAAAAATCCCACTTATTCACTATAAACAGTAGATTTAAACAAAAATAGCCTACAAGTACTAACACGATAAATAATTTAATAAATAAAAACTGAAAGAATTAAATATAGAAATGTAAAATTTACATAATTTAGGCAATAAATAAAATTGCCTTTTTTGGTCTTCTTTTCTTGTCATCAAGCCTGTAAGAAAGAGAATATTTTTCTGTAAATTTTTATATAAGTTTTATGCATGTAGAGCTCTCTGGTCCGGAACTACATCACATTATGTAAAACAGTGCATACGTACGTTTTGCAGTTAGTACCTGTGTTTAGGAAAGCATTTTCAGCCATTTATGTAACTACACAACAAAAACAACCTTTGAGCCATTTATGTAACTAAAAGAGCATGATTTAGACGGAGCCGATAGATCGGCCCGCCTGAGTGTTCTGGCCATTACCTGACGCGCCGATGGATCGGCGCGCTGAGCGTATAAGGGTTAAGATAAGGAATCTTTCTAAAATCCTAAAGAGTCTGTCTTAGTAAAGTATTCAGCCCAAGTTGGAATTCTATTTCCATTGTGGGTTGGTATGCTCTCCATGATCTTCCCTGGGATACTCGTGAGACTTACCGGCCTGTAATTTCCTGGATGACTCTTTTCGCCCTTCTTAAAGATCGGTACGCCGTTTGCTAGTCTCCAGTCCTTATTTAACATAAAATACATTTTATTTTTATTAGTACTAGTCATGAGAACATTTTATGAAAATTAAAAGGAAACCTTTAATTTTTCTTGCCTGCTCAGGAAAATATAGATATAAGGTTTGTCAAAA